AACCAAGCATTCAACAAATACAAATGTATCACTAGTTCATTCAAACACCACATCTGACACAGCTTAAATTTGAGTCTAAGTGTCTGTAATCAATGGTACGTCTTCTTCTTAAGTTCATCCTGCGTCAGTCCGACATTGTATTGGATAAAAAACTTTATTATCTAGAATGCACTCATTAGTATTGGAATTAACAAGCGAAATCGGAACAGACACTTGGTTCCTGGAATCGTATACAATCACCGTGTCGGTTGTGTACCGAAACCACTACCTAGAATTTAATGCACATATCTCCCAACACTATCCTCCACCACGAAATAATGTTGGATCTTTATATCCTCAATTCATGAATGATGTGGCTTCATTTAAACATATTTCTCACATTGGCTAGAGTAAACATTAGAACTGTTTTTGTGATAAGGGTAAACAGCAGTTGATATGAAGTCATCCGAATTGTAATCAAAATCGAGGTCATTTAGTACTTGTGCTTCGCATTGAACAAGTTTCCACAAGAAACATGCATTATGAGGACAAATAATATTTGGTATGACATCAAGACTTGATTCTTCTGAAATAGTTTCCTCGAATTCATTAAGAATGTCATTGCAGAGTAAAGGATCTGTAGAAAAGTTAGCATCTATCAAAACTCAACAGGTTTTCGATCATGACTAGGTTCATTCAACATATTTTCCTCAGATTTGCAAGGAATTTCGTCAGAAATAAGTGAGTCATTTGGAAAAACCATATCTGGTACAGTAACATGAGAAATCTGACATGTTGACTGATTAGAAACTGTTGTCTCACAAGGATTCTGAGTTTTGCTTAATTCTGAAATGCGACATGACTCTACACTGTCTTTTGAAATCGTTGATAAGGATGAATGATCATTAGGAGCACTGGACTTAACAGAATCAGAATTACAAGACTTAATATTAGTTGCAGCAAGATGTACGGTAGCATTACAAACTGACTGAAAATGTCCAATATTGCAACATTTAAAGCACTCAGAATTACGAAATTTACGTGAATTAAAAGAGTGGAACCTGCCACAGACAAACATTGACCAAACTTGTGCCCATCTTCGTGAAATGCATCGCAACTCCTCAATGAATTATCTTCATAACCTTGAGTATGCACTGGGTTGGAGTGACGTAATGTAGTGGAATTCTTTATATTCTCATGAATCGTTTTACGAAATCTTCCCCTTTACCACATTCGAACTTTGTATACTGAACATAGTCTAGCAGTAGTTCCTTGAGAGTTGTATAAGAAAGCGAAATGGGCTTTTCCGGTAAAGCCAGAGTTTTAATAAGCTGTAAGCTTCTTTTCCGATGAATGTGAGGAAATATGCTACAATAATAATATCCTCATCAACTTCCCTAGTCATAGCCCAGATTTCGAACCTTTCAAAGTAATCCTGGAAAGCATCAAAATCTGAATATATGTCCAGCTATTCCATTACAGGTTCAGTCGTGACGCCAGTATGATAATTAGAAGTATTTGAATTATAGTATGAACTAAGAAACCCTGAAATAACGTAATCGGATCAAGAAGTACTATATAACCAAAAATGAATGTACTGTATTTAGAATTCGAAATCAAGCATCCAACAAGTACAAATGTATCATTAGTTCATTCAAACACCACAATATTCCCTCACATTTCTAAGAAAAGCATGTAACAAACTCCTTCGATCAAATGTGTTTAGTATTCTTATGTCTACTTTCAACAAATGTAACGTTTATCTTAGTGAACTGGTAATAGCCATACTGATTCATTGATGAGGTTTCTCACATCTCGCTGATACCACATAGTTTGTGCTTAGTTGGTAATTTGTTTATTGTCCTCTAATATAACTTTTCAGCAGTCACGAATGACCATCTTAAAAAATAGACTGGATATGTTATGAAAAACACACTTATATAAATCGGAATTGAGACTATTGATTCTTAGGTAGTTTATTCCATCTTTTACTTCTGAAGGTGGTGTAGTGATGCAAATGTTAATGGGTTTGACTTCTAGTCACTAAATCTCAGGTGCGAACTCCGCCCCAACTAATCCTGTTTGAGGGACCGAGTAATATAACTAGCTCTTATACATATAATGTGGCTCGAACCTTGGTGTACAAATCCGTATACATGGTAAATGAGTTGAATGAAATAGAAACTACTCTTGAAACCGGTGTAAATAAACCATTAGGTGATTAGTTAAAGAAATCATAAAATATTTTACCATTGCCTCTAGCCACGTGTATCTTATTTCTTTATCATAAGAAGAGTATTCCTAGTCAACCAGACTGTTCAACATAACGGTTGTTGGATAAACGATCAAAATAAGCAGACGACACAAGTTCATGAAAAATTTACTTACGCATATATAAAATTCTCCACTTCAACAAGTAACAAACGACTTAACACATAATTAAAAGTTTTCATAACACCATTCCATCAATTGAAACTCCTACTACCATACAATATGACTTAAAAGAAATGTAGAGAAAAATATATCTTTAAAAATCATTTCAACAAAATGATTGTTTAAAAACTTGGGCGAAATGCATTTGTTCTAATATTTACAAATGTGACTGAAAGACAACTTTGATATATCTGGGGTCACGAATTTAGCTTGATAGTCAGCTTTTAGTTTATTAACACTTGTTAATCGACCTACGAAATTCAAATCTAACATTCACCCATATTTCAACTAACTTATAATCATGTTAATTTCTGTGTTTAGTATTTAGCATATGTTATAACTTGTGGACCTGTGTGCCCCGTTTATTTTATATCGCAACGATACCGTCAATCAGAGAGCAGCGAATTACCGATGGAACCAGTGACGTACAAAACACGTACGAGCAACCTGGAGTCTTTATTGGTCTCGCTTTCCGCCTAGCCCAGCCAGTTGAGTACAGAACAAAAATCTCAACTTTTGCAATATAAATCATTTATTTCAAACATACAGGGTTTATACACCAATCAAACAGACCACAACGTACCATAAAATAGAAAATAACATTTGTACAATATTTAGCCAGAAGTGGCTGTAAATGAGGGAGGTGGTAATTAACAGACAGACTATAACTCAAGAATGGTAAATCGTATAACCACAGTTCATAGGTCGAAATAAAACTCATAATAAGAGGGTCATGAATATGAACAGTTTGGTTACATAACAATTACACGATAAAAATAAACTCATAGTATTGGTCCATAAATGTGAAGCGTGGAGTTGAGTCGCGGTTGACTATGAACACCACTACAGGAAGACTACGTGCCAGTTAACTGATAAAATCCCCCGTAAGCCAAATATCAGAAGGCAGTTGATGGCTGTAGTCAAGATGTATTTGTTGGCAATCTCGTGGTATCGAAAGGATACCGAGATTGTGCCAAAGGAGTACAAGCGTGGTTATCGAGCGTAACCGAACCCATGCAAGGTCGCAATCGATGGAGTAGTAATATGGCTGTCTTTAGCACAGTTAAACAAACGAGCACAGTAAAACAATCACTGGTACAATTGGTTATAATAATAATTGCTTCAATTAAATCAATCGCGTTCTCTTGGTAAAAGTAGGTCACTACAAATGGATCCCAAAAATTACCATTCATTATTCTTATCGGGATAAAACAGCATATGAATATTTTATTTTATTAGATAAGAAAACTATTTTTTAGCTAGTAGTATTGTGGTGCGTGCTACTTATATTGATATAAGTACTATATAACGTGAGTTAAAAGAACGTAATGTCTGGCAGCAGAAGATGGGGAAGATCAAGAAAGGAAGAGCGAGAACACAATGGAATTTGTAAGAAATCGCATGAACAATGAAATGTGAGACAATGGATTGATGTTTGCAACAGCAACAGTCCGGTTTGATATGATGGAATGATATTTTGCAAATTAACGACTTACGATAAGGTTTTTCTATTTTACCAAGTAACTCTGTAATTTTGTGCTAAATACAATTTGGTTGTCCTCACCTGTGTTCTCCTTCACTACAGTATTACTGTTGCTCGGAAAGATCGTATTACTAATGCATAATTCCTAAACTGTTATAAATTAGATAATATGTTGAACAAAATCTTACAGTGAAATAAAACGAATTTCATACTGAACAAAATTCACACTAATCTGAAAAGTAGTCTTGCATTTATATTCCTCCCTAACGAAACCCAATAATCACGAAGTCTTGGAATAAAAGAATATATGTACATTAATGCGTATATTTACGAAGTATATACTTGTTAAGTGGTTGAATATAGTCGTTAGGATATCCTAGACCTGGATTTCGTGCTTTTCGGCACTCTTCAGCAATGTGTGCCTGCGATCTTGATGGAATTAATACTCTCTTGATGATTCAATCACATGTCACTCGGCTTCATGATCTGAGATGTTACTACTGAGTCATTTGGACTGCGACTGACCTCCAGTGAGACTAAAATAGTTACAACTGATTGATCATTGAGTACTGATCACTACAACGACTAGATAAACATCACATTTATTAATACTCAGCGACCAATCAATTGAAAGCACATTTGTTTAAAATTTTAGTGTACCAACTTGGTTTACTCACTAGTAAAGGGAGTTTTAGTACCTTTTTCCTATACAAAAAGTTATATCAAACTGTTCTCTTTCCACATAAATTTTAAATGATATTTACAAAGGGCAACAAATATTGGAAACAAAATGACAAAACATAAATATCCAATTTCTAATGGATTTATTATTTAACTATTATTAAATTTAAAATCAATTGTATAAAATCAAAGATCAAGATTTGTGTTGCTTGACTTTTAATTATTAGTTTCTGGCACAATATAGTCTTCCAATTGCACAGTCCTTACTAGTCAATTATTGTTAGTTGATATTTGATAAATGGATAAAGTAAATGACCCGATCAGCGATTAATTTGTTTCTGATCTGTGTTTTACTTTGTTCCAGAATTCAGTAACAGCAAAGAATGATAAATTTATGGATAAGTTTTCCAATGATTTCGTTCATATGAATGAGCATTTTTCAGTTCCATTGGATGGCATAGAACTGTCTAATGATAATAATAATAATAATCCAATTCATTATATGAACTATGGAATTGAAACATTTACATCGCCCACATGCTTTGCTTATACCATGCATTTGTTTACATTGATCACTGCAATTCTTGACCAACCAATAATTTATCCTAGAGATTTTGTTGAAATTTATCCCAAGTTAAAACTGTTGGATATTTCCACTCGTGATATTTCTCAATCAGATCGTTGGTAAGTATTAACTTTATTTTTATTACAAATTTTTAGTATTTGAACAATGTAGTATTAAGGAATTATTTTAGAATAAATATAGGACTTGTTAAGTATGTGACCAATTGTACTTTTAATAAGTAAATGTTGTTTCGAGAAGTTAGGTGGTTGAAGATAGTCAACAGGAAACCGTCTAACTAGGTTTCCTGATAGTTGGTGCTCGTCAACATGGTAGATCTCCAATCGCGAAAGAACTGATGCTTCCTTCGGTATCCAAACAAGTGTCACCCAACTTGATCGTTCGAAACGTTGCCACTAAGCTATTTGGGTTGCAACTACTCTACTGTAGAACTCAAATACTAACAATTGATTGGTGACTAATATCATGTTTGTCTTGTCCTTTTATTACTGATTACACACAGCATAAGATTAGTTCGAGAGTGGTCTCCATCATGACGCAACATTATTGAGGAAACCATGATAAACAATTGAGCACTGGATAGTCGCTTCATCATAGTTTCAAAGGAAAAACTTATCTAAAGCAATTGGTCCCTTTTATAAATTTCGATAGAACAATGGGAAGACGGAGTTGATCTGATAAAGGCGATATATTAGCACTAAACATTTCGAACAATCTGGTCACACAGATACTTGTCAAGGCATATCAATAATAATATAAAATGCTCTGACAAGTAAATGTGTGACCAGATTGTTCGAAATGTAGATTGCAAATACATCGCCTTTCTCAGATCAACTCCATCTTCTCATTGTTCTATCGAAAAACTTATCATTGTGTACTTTCTATGGTACACGCGCGAGTCAACCAGATTAAGAGTAAGGCGACAATCTACCGATGAAATTGGATAAAGTTTGAGCTTTCTCGCTTTAGGATTGACTTAAAGTGGTTATGTAGGCCATTGGATTTCGACCTAGTTACTCAATGGCATCGTGTTTACAGAGCGATAAGGAGCTAGTGATTGATTTTTCTGTCAAATCCTTCATAGAATTATGTGGAAGTAACATTTATTCTTGCTCTATTACTTTCGTAATGTCGATTAATACTGTTTGCCTATGTAGAGTTAAACTTTGTAGATTTAATTAAGATATGGAACAACCACGTACACTCACTATTGTATTTAAATATTCCCTTGTAATCTCATCTTGCTTTTTACAGCCAAGCAATTTGCATACTAAAGCGCAATATCATGTCTTTGGGTTCAAGATTTAATTTATATCTGACGCCAGAAAAGCATGCGTTGTATAACTTGAAATATTTATTTGATCATTTTCAGAACAGTAAGTGAAGTTAATGTGGCGTAACTGTTCTCAATTTTTATTTAATCGAAAATATTACGGTTAATTTTGTTTGATGTTTCCGACCAAACGACTAAGTGATGTGTCGAAATCCCGAAACGAAAACAGTAGCTCTTTGTAAAATACGGTAGTATTAATAATGACAATATAAGAAATATATTTACAAGCCTCAGTACATGAGGTTTCTATGGTGCTTACCGCGTGCATATGCATTCAGAGATGAAGAGGTTCTTGGAATAGCTGTATGGGGATTATTTACCAAAACATACGATAATCTACTTGATAGCCAGTAGTTTTGTCAATACCACAGTGCAACCAACAATCGAAACGAGTACTAATAGCACAAAATACTAAAACTATCATGCCGTAACAAATTTTTGATGACTAAACAAGAAATCGAAGTAACTGTCACAATTATAACAATAAGTTGACTGAAAGTCACAAGTTTATGTAACATATCCATAAGTTCAACTCAACAACGAAGGGATGTTATGCTTCTTATGTACAAAATTGATTGAAAATGCCATTAGCTACTGAATATTAGTGAGAAACATGATGTGGTACACAAAACGAACCGGATGAGAAGGAAATAGAGGTAAAAGATGCAAGTGGAATTGACAATTAAAATGTAATGTAACCTGCTTTTACTCGTACACTCTCAAGCCACTGTCTTCTGCCATAACGACTATGTTGATTGCCACTATTACTAATTATAACTGAGGTGACCGGACAATTGACTTATCATCAAATTTACACCGCTTAAGTTTTGAAATAATATTACTGAGCGATCATGTAAATGCATAATGGGGAGTTCAGACTATTATTATTGTGATCAACAATCGACTAGAACGACATGAAACTGATGGTCACTAGGCAATCAGTCAGACTCCATTCCTGTACCGTATAATATCATCTTTAATATTAGTGAATTAAATGTTCACGATTGTATACGAGTTTTAGAGAACATTGAAAATTCTAATTTTGTCATGAACCGACTTCAGTTGGATGACCGTTGATAACCAGGAGGCAATTGGAAGGTATTTCGTTAGGGTAAGGGACTCGCCAGTAGTTTGTATCCGCGATCCCTCAGGGGTGCGAACCCGTGATCGTCAAGGTTAGCAGCGATCGCTTAATGTTCAAACCACTGAGTTTCTACTTCGTAATTTACATCCATATTTTGAGATATTGCATGGCCATCACCCATTCTCACTGGTGATATCTGTCTCACATCCGATATAGCTGTGAGTGGGGTGGTAGATAAGATAGATACGGTCGATGAGTCCCACAATAGGACAAAATAGTTGTTCCTAGTTCCCTTGTTTTCATTGGTTGTTTAGATAAAGTCAGTCCTTGGTATAAATCTGCAAATATCTATACGAATTTGCGCATAACTCAAAGCAAAAATAATCCATCTGTTACCACTTGATCAGTGTCGTTATGTCCTGGTGTGTATGTGTATTTGAATTGCGGAAATGCGTAGTGTTTTTGATTTAGTAGAGTAGTTAAGAGCATCCATGACTTAACTTAATATTACTCATCTGAAAATAAATGACCATAAACAATCGAGGAATAAAGTTATATAGTTCGTAAGCCCTGAAATACTCCCAGCTCATTTGTATTATAAATTTCAGCCGTCAGTTTGTATCCTGTTGTTATAGTCATAATTAGCGTAAATATATATATTATTGACGTTATGACAATCGAAACAAAATGATAGATCCTAACTATCGATTAAAGTCACGTTTTTCCATCAGTGTTTCATGTGAAACACATATTCTCAAGAGATTTGTACAAGATTGTAAATACCACTGTTTGTCTATTGTAAAATACCACCAATTCATATTGTGAGATTCGATATAAATCTTAGAAATCTAACCGCATTAACTATTTTCCAGAAGTGGAAAATTTTTTACTTAATTCAGTGCTTATTGTTTTTTAATCTGATCTGATGATGATTACGAAACTCTCATTACTGTTTGAGGAACTCCTAAGCTTGCCAATTTTGTGATATCTTCTAACTTAGTGTCCACGTGATCTTGTAGCGTGGCGTCGAGTTGAGGTTAACTATGAACACCGCTACCAAGAAACACGTGCCAAATAAATCAGAAGGCGAAGGTTGAACGTAACCAAAGAAACCCATAAAATCTCCGAGAAGCCAAATATCAGAAGACAGTTAATGGACCAAATCGAGATGTATTCGCTGGCGATCTCGTGGCATCGAAAAGATACCGAGATCGTGCCAGAATACAAGCTTGGTTACAGAACGTAACCGAATTCGCGCGAAGTTACAATCAAAGTGTAAGTCAAAGAATGGAAGCACAAAATAACTGTCATTAGCACAGTCAAACGAAAGCACGTTAAAACAAACACTGGTACAGTTGGTTATAATAATAATTGTTTTTATTAAACCAGTCGTGTTCTCGTGATAAATGTGAGTCACTACAGGAGCCCCCCGCTAGAAAGGGTTAACACTTTCGATTATGAGCGGTTTAAATCGTGGGACTGATCGGCTGACGAGCGATTGTAGGACGGAAAGATTGGCGAACAGGAAAGCGATCGTTGATCGTCGAGTTGCCAACGAAGGTCGTTTTCGGAGAACGGTACCAGGAGCGATGTGCTGTATGTATTGCTTGAGTTGGCATGCTACACGAGAGTGGTTTGTATCCAGAATCTGAAGATGGCGTTCGTAAGGGTCCGGACCAGAAACGCTGCAGACGAAGGACGAAACCACGTTGAGCCAAAAGACCAGAAGCGACCGTAACGACCAAGTTCGAGACCAAGCGTATGCCAAGCATTCGAAACCAATATATCGACTGAGTACGTTGACAAGAGCGTGGGTGGGCAATCCAGCTTTCGCCAAAGTTGACTGAAGTCGACGGAACCAAACGGAGATGGTCGAAGGCGTGGGCTCAGGAAACAAAAAGAAAATCAAAAAAAGAAGAGTGTAGCATGCGTGTAGTATAGGAATAATCCTACACCGTATCGGTTGTTGACTGTGCGGCTAGTCGCGGAAGCGTACGGGTAACCGTACTCGGCGACCGGAACGTGAGACGGCAGTCTCGTTCGTATTTCGTGAGCCTGCAATCTCATCCGAGGTCAGAGGCGGCGTGGTCTGCTGATCTGGACGTGAGACTGTCGTCTCGTCCGTAGACGGTGCAGATGACGCGTGCTGTTGACCGGGACGTGAGAATGAGGTCTCAGATGTATCTAGCGTGGGACCTGAAGAAGATTTAAGGATCCCGCTAGGTTTGATAGGTCTAGCATTGAATCTCAGGGTGTCAGATAGGGCACTGTCATCGACGTGTGCTGGTTTGAGACGATCAATGCTGACGATCTCGACGCGTCCATATCGATCAACCTTGAAGGTCTTTTCGTGACGAGCGATCACGTGAAAAGGGCCTTCGTAAGGTTGTTGCCAAGGTTTGCGTACCGAATCTACTCGTACAAAAACATGTGAACAGGTAGATAACTCTCGAGGGAGAGCGACCTGTCGATGTTGTATTCGAGTTGACACCGGAGACAGCGTTCGCATAAATGCAGACAGTCGATGGACGTAGTCTGATTTACCGAAATTAGGTCTGCTCCGTGGTGTGAAGAACTATCCGGGCAGACGCAATGTCGTGCCGTATACAAGTTCAGTGGCGGAACATTGAATATCTGTCTTTAAGCTCGTTCTCACCTTTAAAAGAACGAGCGGTAAGGTTTCGTGCCAGTTGCCGTTTTCGTGTGCTCGTAGAACACTTTTAAGTT